AATATACTAGCTAGGGAAAAAGAGAAGAGAGATATGTCATATACAGAGAAGAACATTTGAAAAGGCTTCAAGGTTGACATGGGACTTATTCTTTGGGGAATGGTGAGCCATTTGTGTGGCAGAAGCTGCAGTGCTAGAGTTGTGAAGATAGAAGTATTAAACAGGTAGGCTGGCTCCAGATTGTGAAGGTACTTGAGTGCTATGTGTACAAATTTGGATTTTGAAATAGAGGTACTGTATTCTTTTTATGGTAATTTATTTTATAAGATATCAAGGAAAGGGTGATTCAATCAAATCAGCAAGTAACAGTGGCATTTTTAAGCAACTTTGATACTGAACTAGCCACAGGGGTTCTCTTTTGCCTCCTGATTTTCCAAATCTGTCTCAATTTCATATAAACTAATAACTGTGGGTAGACTTTTATTGGCATATTACAGTCCCCTGAATGAGAAAATGTGACAGATAAGCTAGAGAACTGCTTTAGTTTTTCTCCCATGAGACAGAACTCTGACCTTGTATTTTGAGTTTGGGGTGTTTGGGATGTTGGTGACTTTTTTTTAGTTCAATGACTTAGTTGACTAAGCTAGGAAGGAACTATCTGAAACCGACATGGACTCTTGCCAGAAGATTAGCTAGGGAAATATTAGATTTTCCAAATCCAGTCTCTATCACTTTAAAACAGATAATTTAGAGGAGAATAAAATATCTTGAAAATTAATGGCAATTTTGAAATAGAATATTTTGTCAAAATCAAATTCATTTCATTAAATGCTTGAGAAGAATGCAACGAGTAAATGAGGTATGAATAACTGTAAGATGGGACAATTACCACCTCAGAAACAATATATTTGTAAAGTTAATTCTTCTTGAACATGAACAATCCCCTTACACTTGACCCCTTTCTATTGCCTCTTCCATGCTTGAACTCTCCTTGAACTTTGAAGATCCATCTTGAGAGTATGATATGGCCATCTCTTTTGCATCTGGTTATTTTAGCTCCAATTTGCAGCCCTAAAATGGCAATTATGGTGATGTATTGCAGAAGTCACCCGACATGGATTAGTATCGGGATCAGCACATTTATGCACAGGAGTAGTGAATGGAGACTGCAGCTATGATTTTAAATGACTTGATTAATTCTGAAACAACATTTCAGAGTCCATTAGGTCCAGCAGGTGTTGGGGTGCAGACTGTGCTTTTTTCCTAAACAGCATATTCGATTAAAATGCCAAAGTATTTTGGATTCATCTATTATCTTTCCTAGAATAGTTTCCTTTCACTCTGTTAAATCCCATTAACACTCACCACTCCTCCTGAAAGAGATCCTCTCCTTGTGCTTCTACCCAAGTTCTCTTGTATCAGTTACTGACCGCCAGCTCTGTCTGAGCCACTTGAACAATGTGTTCTGTTCTTGTTTAAGGGGGTATTTACATGACAAAACTCCTGCTAAAAGCTCTTGCTAACTCAGGTCAAAATAAGGCCAATTGTGGTGTATATTCTTAGGGCCATTTCATCAGCAACTCGTGTCAAGGTTAGAAATGTGTCTGGTTAATGCCTTGGTTCAATGCTTTCTTTTACTACTAAATATACATGTACATGACATTATGCATCTCCCCTCTGCCCTCCACCCCATCTGGATGTCACTGCTCTAATAAAAAACATGTAGGGCTGGGCTTTTCATTTAAGTTCTTTGGGTTTTGAAATTCCTAGATTCTTTGTCGGTTTTCATGGATTCTAAGGTATCTTTCTTTGAAAAATTCTGACAATGGGCCTTTCACGCTTCATCACTTCCAATTCCTTTCTTTACAGCATAAAGAGCATTTCAATGGTTCAATGGTACAACATTTGTACAATAATCTCAAAATGCGGTATCATGAATTGTTCTGTCATCTGTTCCCCTAGCACAATGGGCCTGTCTCTATTACAGCACATAGCAACGTGTATTCTAGCTATTTTTGTGTCACTACATTTGTCCTCCTTAAGAGTCACATTTTATTCTTCTGTCTTTAGCCCTGTTGCACATTTATCCATCCATCCTTCCACCCATCCATCCATCAGTCTATCTACTTAACACATGTAGAGCCTTTATTATTATTGTTGTTGTTCTTTGCTAAACAATGTGCTACATATTCAATAAATATTTTTAATTTCATTGAATTAATATACTCTTGGAAACCAAACAAAAACAAATCATACCGTTCTAGTCACCTAAAATTAATGCTTCTCTTATAAGTATCTAATATAATGACAATATAATAAGTATATAAAGTATGTATAAACAGGAGGCAGGACACTTGATTATTAGTATCAACTTTTTTTTTTATACTAATGGTTGAGTTACTTGAACAAGTCACATAATCTCTTTGTGAATTTTTTTCATTGTAAAATATAGATGAAACTTATTTGTCCTACCCAACGTATGGTGCTGTTGAAGGGGTTGAATAAAAGAATATAAGTGAAAATATTTTGAAAACCATACAAAAATACTACTTGGTATGATGATAAAGATGGTAGTTGAAAGTATATGGCTGTGTTTCACATGTGGTATTCCTGGGATTAATGTCTTCCACAGCAAGAGAGCTAACGTTCATTATGAAGCTGCTATAGGTAAACTGATGAAACTATTCTGTTGTTCAAACCTTCAAATTATCAATTTGTGTATGCTTTTAATATGATGACCAATATAAATTTTATTCACAAGAAATGGATACCATGTTTAATAATAACAGTTCAAATTTTTCTGTTTTACTAAAAGGAGCAGAGTGTAAAAATAGAATACAGATTATTTTAATGTTGAAAACTTGGATCTAAGTTACCTAATAACTTTCTATATTGGTTTTAAAACTATTATAATTTCAAAGGATAGATCATAATTATAGGTTTTTAATTCCCAAGCTTAAACATTGAGACTTTTAAAAAATTTTGTTCATCTCTTCCTGCAAATTTGGCAACAACTGAGAAATAGGACATACAAGTCAGACAAATAGAAATCCTTATTACTCATAACAGCTGAACTAGTGAGTATTACTTTAGATTTATGGCCAGAGAGGGCTTACTAATATATCACTGGATGAGCCTTTCCTCTCTCCTCAGAACTACAGGCCCCATCTTGCACAGGTAGGACTTGATCTGCTAAGCTGCCGCATGGGAGAGTGGCCCCAAAGCTTGCATCCTGCAGTCAAGCTGGCTCTTAAAGAGAGGGACCCAGAAGATGCTGTATTGAATGTACTCAATTACTTCTCCCAAATTCCTCCATTGGATCAGTCACTCTTCCCATGAGAGGAGTAACTTGTCCATGCTGCACTAAGCTGCCGCATGGGAGAGTGGCCCCAAAGCTTGCACCCTGCAGTCAAGCTGGCTCTTAAAGAGAGGGACCCAGGAGATGCTGTATCGAATGTACTCAATTAGTTCTCCCAAATTCCTCCATTGGATCAGTCCTCTTCCCATGAGAGGAGTAACTTGTCCATGCTGCGCACCCTGGAGAACAGAGTGGAAATGTCCTCCTTTAGATGGAATCATGGGTAGTAACTGTCCTCAACACATCATCATCATCATCATCATCTGTTACACACTGAGCAAACTCCACCACAGCAGAACCTCAGGCGGCCCCACCAGGGACATTGTCTACTGAACATCCTGAGGAAGAGAGGAAAGACCTTGCCTTTCCATACGTACCCCGACCCTTACACTCCCACCCGCCTTCTCTTTCTAACAATCTAACCAAGAGTTCGGTCTTTTTGTTTAAAAACTACAACAGAAATAATTGTTTTTAAACATAGAACAGTCCTATCTTTTGCTTTAGGAAGTTGGACTTATTAGTTGCTAAGATCTCTTTCTGTTGAAAATATTTAGTGACTCAGAATTAGTACCCATGTAGGGAAATCATGAAGTTGCTCAAAAGTAGATTTTGCTCTTTTTAGTCATGATTTCTTCTTCTTTCTACTTTCATTCCAGAAAACTAAGCTTGTTGATTTTAAATAGTGGATGAGCAGGTACTTCAAATCTCTTAATAAACATCAATAGTAAATTGGTTGATTACTGTTGAAAAGAACAAAAAGTATCTCATTCCAGAAAACTAAGCTTGTTGATTTTAAATAGTGGATGAACAGGTACTCAAATCTCTTAATAAACATCAATAGGAAATTGGTTGATTACTGTTGAAAAGAACAAAAAGTATAAAAATATTATTCCAGTGCATGATGTTTTCTAAATATTATCATTTTAGCATCTTTTTATTTTCTAAGGCAACACTTTCCTGGATAGGTGAAAAAAGACTAGTTGAAATCACACACCTTGGTCGAACATCTGTTGTGTGCAAGGCATTGTGCTAAGTACTGTGGAAGGTAGAATAATACTAAAACATGAACAGTTCCTTCACACCACATATGCATAATTTTACCCACAAGCATTTATATTCTAGTAGAAATATGCTGAATTAAATCTCAATACTGGAGGCCAAGGACATAATTCAGGGTCCTAAACAGAACAAACCCGGAGCTGTCTGCATTAAAAGTAATGGAAAAGAAACGCTAATGCTAAAGATGCGTATTCCAGCTGGTGGGAGGTGCATTAGAACAGACTGAACACAGAATCCACTGGAGTCTCATACAGCCGGACAATAGCACAAAGCCCTAAGTGCCCGAGAGGAAGCTTTGAATAGCTCAGTCAGTCTTTCAGTTTGAATGGATAGTATTGGACAGAAGTGTCTCAGGCATTGGAAGAGTGTGGGAGGAAAGAGGAGGAGATGTTATGAATATCTTATCCTGAGCTTTAAGATGAGAACAATGGGCTTCTTATGCAAACTGAATTGAGATGACCATCCTATTTCAAATAGCCAAGAAACTGCATAACTTAAACCTGGACATGTTAATGCCATAGGGAGTTTCTATATATGGATTCACTTTACAAAATAGTACGCTGTCACTGCTTGATCTTTTTAAAATTCTTTTAACAAAATTAAAGTTCATGAAAATAAAGTTCACATCATCTTCCTGGTTTAGAGACTTATGCCCTGCTGAAAAGGCCAAGCAGGACTCAAGTCTGCCTTGAAGATGACGGTAGAGGAGTAAACAAATGCTTGGTAAGTTTTCTTACGTGTTTGCTTATTTCACAAACATTCTTAGCTTTCAATTCATCATAGTTATAAAATTCTTAAAGTTTAAAGTATTTTTAAAATCATCTAAAAATAACCTCTCACCTATTTTAGTAATGCCTCCTCCTCAAGTATCTCCCATAGATGGTCAAAACCTTCTGAACGAATTTGGTTGCTTTAGTGATTCAAAGTTCCATGTTTGTTTGTTTTTTAAAATCTCTTTGCAACCAGTACCTTACAACTTTTACTCTTTAATTCCCTATCTGACCTTCCCCATCTATGGACAACCATCATATGCTGGAATATAACTGTCTTCCCTTAGTTTTTCCTTTGAGCCAATCATATTCAGGTCCTTCAGCAATTCTTTGTGTGGCATCCTTTTCCAAGGGAATATCTTAGGAATATTATTTCTCTGTATTTTATTTATTTCATTACCACTGAAATTACCACATCTCCACCCCCTCCACCCCCTACCTTCACTTTTTTGGGGGGAATTTTCCACATTTCCCTTCCCAGAAACTGTTACAAGATGACAGGTAGGGACATAAACAGGTGTTAGGCTTTGTGTGAGCAGATAGACTCATAGAGTTTTATAAGTTTGAGAGACACTCAGGAGGGAAAGCTTTTTGCTTACAAAGCTTACTACTGTGTGCAAGATGCTTACTTGTCAATTTCTGAATGGGCAGGAACATTGGTAGCCTATTTTCTTCACATTTTAGTATTGAATTAGCACAAAATAACTGGTCTTCCATGTTCTATGTGGCCATGTCTACTCTTTATGGGTCCAAGCAGGAAAAAGTATTTCTAAATGATTGAGACCAAAAATTTCTCGTAGAAAAATGTTTTATTTGGGGCCTAATTTATCTGTTTTGTGACTTTATTCATTTCACAGGCAATTTCTCACATGTTCATTGTTTTCATTTTTCTTGAATCTTTATTACAGAATAGTTGGAATGCAAATACCAATTATTATCCAGAAATGGGCATTCAGTTGATTTTGAAGGAACCTGAACTTTTGACTTGGATTATTCAGTTATTCAAAACTACATTTCTCTGTGAGTTTCAAATCATAGCAGGGTTATTTAGGCAACAAAAAAATTTTAAGGATGTCCTTAAAGTCTATTTTTAAGGGAGAGGACTATAAAAAATAGTGAATGGGTATTCTAAATAGCTAGGGAAACTAATGTGTATATGAGGGTAATGTAGGAGTGATGCCCAAGGTGTAGGGTGGGGTGGGAGTTCATGTGAGGAGCATGAGCCAGGAGGTGATGTATGAGGGACTGTGTCATAGATGACCATCCCTTATTAGAACATCGAAGGTTGACACTGTCCCCAAACAACAGTGACTTGTTAATATGTTTTTCCTGAGAAAAAGGGTAACCAAAACTTCACACCCTCCCAGAGCCCGGAGCGTGGGCAGACTTTGTGTCTCAATGTACCACAGAGGGACCCTCTTTTCAAGTCACACTGAACTCCTTTGGAGCCTCCCCCATCATCCTTCCCCAACCTCCAAACCTTTGAGACACCAGCCTACCTCTAGCTGTGTCTGTAATGAATGGGGAGGAGTGGCAGCACCCCATTCTGGAAAATTCCACCGAAATGTTTCCTCAAGCAGAATCTGACCTCAGGCACACAGCATCCTTTGTTCACATTTCTCACTCTGCCCCCTGCTAACTAACGTGGAGGGTTTTAACAGTGGGAAATCCTTTGTTCACATTTCTCACTCTGCCCCCTGCTAACGTGGAGGGTTTTAACAGTGGGAGCTCAGAATAGAGCTGCAACATAGAGCATAGGGATACACAAATCCTTATTTTATTAACACTGTAAATTCCATTTCCTTGGAATGGCCAATTTTTCTCTGCCTAGCAGCAAAAAGATAGTTAAAGGGACTTCTGGTGACATTCCCTTTGTTTAATGAAGCTTGGAGTTATGGGCAACTGCCTTGAACTGCCGTTATTATCTGCATGAGTGAATAAGGGCTGAGGGTCCAAGTCTGTGCAAAGACTTTTATTGCAAATAGGCACATTGATCATTCATAATCAGACCTACCAGGTCAGCAGAGCTGCGGTGACAGCAAGCCCTGAAAAAGCTGACCAGCGGAGCACTAGCGCTCATAGGCTAACATAATATTCAAGCAGAATGAGATCCTCTTTTCTTTACACCCTTGTCTCTTGGCTTTCTTCTGACAGAGTGGGAATGAGAACCAACAGGCATTTGAACTATATCCCATATCACCAATCACAGAGTCATCCTCTGCTCCTTTGAGGCCTCTACATGTTTCTAGAGCCCTGTTTCTTTAGAGGTGTATTCCTTCTGTGTAAAGGTTTGTGCTGTCGGTCTCACATTACCATATGATTTAGGGTATTATGGTGCTGGTTCCTTGTAAATCCATGGCTTTCTGATTCCAAATATTTACTCACATTAGACTCACATTCAGAAGAGAGCATTTCAAAGACATCCCTATTTGAAACTTCAGAGCGAATGTCGAGCCACGTTTGTTGCCTTATCATTGCGTTGGCTAGTAAGCTTTTAAAATATACCTTTGAATACACGGACATCCTATTTGAAAAGTCGGCTTTATTACATTACTAGTGGCTGTCCTATTTGAAAAGTCGGCTTTATTACATTACTAGTGGAGGGTGCACGAAATTTGTGCACGGGGGGTGTGTCCCTCAGCCTGGCCTGCACCCTCTCCAATTTGGGACCCCAGATTTGTGTGTTGGTTTGTTGACACAGTGACACAGGGACAATGGAAAGGCCTGTACCTTCACCTAGATTACAGAATTAGAAGAACTAGATAATACATGCATTTTAGATTTTAGGCCTCCTGATTCTGCTCTAAAGAGTGACAAAGCTAAGGAGGTATTAATCACTAGAGGGCATGACAGTAGTAGCAGGGATATAAAATTTGAGCAGTCTGAAATCAAAGAGGATTTTGAGATTAATAGTATATGGTGAAAACACCAAGAAACTCAATTTGATGTCCCATGTTCATACAGAAAAGTGGTCTTGCTAGCCCATTTTGAATTGGATGTGCTTTGTGAATTATTTTTCTAACGGTGATGAATTTGCAGTGGTCTATCCACACGTGATCACTCAATTGACCTTGTGACCAATGACAAGCATATGTCAAATGGCTGGCAAGGGTGAGGGGTTTCCTGAGTCATCAGAGTGATGAACCCGTGAGCTTGTTAGTGTGATTTCTTCATCAGCTGTGCTAAGTGAACAAAGAGTGCACTAAAGGGGTAAGAAGGAAAATGTAACCATTTTGATAATCACTTCATCTGTGACTTGATACAGGCAACAATCAACTAGGCTGTGATTCTTCCATCAGATGCTGAGAAATGAGGAAGTATTTTAAGTCTAAAACAACTAAATATATACACACCTATGACAGTATTTTTAGATGTTTTTCCACATTGCCACATAAACTCAAAATCAGCCCAAATATAGTAGTCCAACAAATTTTATAATTGATTTTGCACTTAGTGAACTACTCAATACATAGGTACTAGTAATTTGATTTAACCATTAATTGGAAGAAGTTTAATCATAGAATTTTGGAAATAAAAGGGACTTTGTGGTTTAATCACTCGTTCTAAACTAAATAATCTTGAGTCTCAGGAAAGTAAGTGACTATCCTGGAGATTATCAGAGATTTAATGGGCCCCTAATTTCTAGCTCAATGTTTTTTGTCTTACTCTCTATAATAATTTGTATTTTTTAGATTTTTACACGTGAGTATTCATTCAAATTTTCTCTTTGGTTCCAATTACATGTTTTAGAGGTTTAGGGTCCAAATGAGAATCATATACTGCCTTTAGTTTTTATGATTCTTAAATCTCCTTCAGTCTGGAACAATTCCTCGGTCTTCCCTTAGCTTTCATGACCTTGACATTTTTGAAGAGTTACTTGTAGGGTGTCCCTCATTTGGGGTTTGTCTGAGATTTCCTCCTATCTAAGGTTAGGTTATGAATATTTGGTAGAGTACAACAGAAATGGCACTGTATTATGTTCAGAGTACAATACCAAGAAGTACACTCTACCAAGTCTTCCTGTCACTGGCAATGTGCCCTGTGAACACTTGATTAAGGTGTTGTCGCCAAGCTTCTCCAGTATGAAAGTGTTTTACTTATTAAATAATAAGCAATTAGTAAGTATTTGTGGGGAGATGTTTGAGATCATGTAAGTTTCATTTTCCACATCAAACTTTTGTCCATTAATATTAGTATCCATTGATAATGTTTTTCTAAAACTATTATTTTCATTGTTGCTAAATAACTATTTTCTAATGCCAAATTTCCTTCTACATTGTTAGTTGACATTTGACTCCAAGCAAGACTTTTCCCATCTCTTGCTTTTATTTAATCATCATGTGTACATATCAGTATGAACTCAAGGATATCAATTTTATTCACTGGGTTATAATTTTTTACAGGCATTTTTATTTTTATATTTATATTCTGTCACGTATTTGACCAGTGAGAGTTTCTTTAAACAGAATCTCATCTTTTCTTGCCATATACACTTCATTTTGTTTTAGCACTTTATTAATTTCTGGCAAGCCAAGATATTCTAGGATTTACCATGGACTTTTTTTTTACCCTAGCCTTGAAATCAGCCAATTCTCTAGAGAACCTTAGGTTTTTAGTGGTATTTAGAAACCGAGATCTGTGCACTTTTGTTATTTGCTTCAGGGTCCTCTCAGCAAAAAGACCTAGGAAGTATATATGCATGTGTGTGTGTAAGTATATATATAGGTATATTCATACTTATAAATCCTTATTTTTCCATAGCAAGAAAATATGACCACAATATATTTATTTATTTTTCTTAATCCCCTTGTATCTGTCAATCTCAGAGACACATAAGCCATCTCCTTGGGCCCAACGAAATGGGATTTCCCCTTAGCGCTGGCCCCAGAGAATACACTAGTCAAGTTCCTGAACATGGCTAGAGTGGGCTGGGCTGGCTATTTTCCTTCCTCCAGTTCAATTAGGCTCTGATAAAACCCCAGCTGATTAAGCTTTGGTTAACTGGTTTCTCCTGAAGGCAAACCCTGTTAAGAAGAGGGCGCTCTGATGTATTTCCTGTCTCCCTGCTAGAAACTCAAGGGGAATTTTTCTCCAATATTTACTGTGCGGACCTGGTAAGGCTCCTAGAGGTAAAATTCACAAAAGTGTGGGGTTCCCCCCTCACCCCAATGACTGGGTCTTTCTGGTGTTTTTACCTCTCAGACTTGTTCACACTGAGCTTCAAGCAATTCATCAATTACAGTTCAGATTGTCCTCCTCTGGCCCTGGTTCCCGTGGAGGTTTCACCTTACGGATTTCTGCCCTGGTAAGTTGTGATATTCTGTATTTGTCTGTCAATGTCTATTTTGGGGGGCAGTGGTTTGCCCTGTGATTTGACTTCTCTTATGGATCTAAGAAGAATTGTTGATTTTTTGGTTGGTTCAACTTTTTACCTGTTGTTTTGATGGAGTGGCAACTCCCAAGCTTCTTATATGTCCGGCCAAAAATGAAAGTTTTTACTTAGGCCTTTTCAAATTTCTTTCAACAATGTCTTGTAGTTTTAGGTGTACAGGTCTTGCACCCATTTTGTTAATTTATCTCAAGGTATTTCACATTTCTTGATGGGTATTTTTTACAATTTTATTTTACAATGGTTCATTGCTACTAGATGGAAATACACTTGTATTTTGCAACCTTACTAGTAAGTAGCTTTTTGAACATTCCTTAAGATTTTCTACATTAATATAATATTGTCTCAACTGGGACAGCTTTTAGTCTTTTTCTTTTCCAATTCATATGCTTTGTATTTATTTTTTTCCTTATTGTAATAGCTAGCACCTTCAAAAAAATGCTGAATAGAGTTGATAACAGTGAGTTTTTTTGCCTTTTTCCTAAACTTAGGGACAACTGTGGGGTTTTTTTTTGTAGATGTCTCTTGTATCCATGAAGTTACCTTATTTTTTTAGTTTGTTAACAGTTTTTAATCATTAATAGGTATTCAATTTTATCAGATGCTTTTTTTTATTCCTTTTTAAGCCTAGTAATATATGGAATATACTCAGTTACTTTAATAGATTTTCAAATGCTAACCAAACTTGTTTTCTTAGGATAAATCCTACTTAGGCATGATGTATTATACATTTTATGTATTCCTGGATTTGATTTGCTAAATTTTTAAAAATAATTTTTACATTTATTTTTATGAAGAATATTGGCCTGTAATGTTCTTTTCTGATATTTTTGGTTTTGTTATCTGGATGGATAATGCTGGCTTCATAAAAAGAATTGGGAAATGCTCCCCACCCCCCTTATATTTCTGGAAGAGTGTGTGCTATTTTTTTTTTCTTCTAAAGCAGTGGTTCTCAACCTTGGCTGCACATTAGAATCACGTGGGAATCTTTTTAAAATCCTGATTTCTGGGCCTCATCCTCGGGAAATTCTGTTTCTTTGTTATGGGGTGGGGCCACAACATTAAAAAAACAGAATTTCCGGAGGATGAGGCCCAGAAATCAGGATTTTAAAAAGATGCCCACGTGATTCTAAATGTGTAGCCACGGTTGAGAACCACTGTTCTAAAGCATAAGGTAGAATTTACCCAGGAAGGTATGTGGGTCTGTTGTTTTCATTGTAGAAAGGTTATTCAAAATTTTCATAGACCCAGGTGTCTTAGGTTATCTACTCATTTTTTAATGAGCTTTGATTATTGGTGTCTTTTAAACTATTCTTCTATTTTATCTAAGTTGTTGAATTTATTAGGATACAGTTGACCTTAAAATTTTCTTATCCTTTTACTACTTATAAGGTATTCAGTAATGAGCCACCTTGTATTTTTATATTGGTGATTTGAATGTGTTTTTGTTGTTGTTGTTTTCTGATAAATCTGAATAGGATTATTCAATTTTATTAATGTTTTCAAAGATCAGGTTTTGGCTTCATTGAGTTTTCTCTATTATTTTTGTTTTACATTTAATTGATATCTTCTCTTAATTAATTTGCTAAGAAATTATTAACAGTAATGACTAATATTCCAAATTAGTCACTTGGGGGTTTTCTTTTTCTAGTTTCTTAGTGTGGTAGCTGAGATCTTTGATTTTATCTAAGATTTGATATAAACCTTTTCTCTTTTCTAATACTTAAGTGTATTATGGTTGTAAATTTCTCTCTAAACACTTTTGTAGCTGCAACCCTAAAATTTTGATTCGTTGCTAATTTAGTATTATCCATTTCAAAATGTTTGCTAGTGTCTTTTATGATTCCTATCTTGATTTGAGGGTTATATAAGCTAAGAAGTAAGTTGCTTAATTTGTAATATTTGAGGCTTTGTAGATGTTTTATTTTTATTAATTTCCGGAGGATGAGGCCCAGAAATCAGGATTTTAAAAAGATGCCCACGTGATTCTAAATGTGTAGCCACGGTTGAGAACCACTGTTCTAAAGCATAAGGTAGAATTTACCCAGGAAGGTATGTGGGTCTGTTGTTTTCATTGTAGAAAGGTTATTCAAAATTTTCATAGACCCAGGTGTCTTAGGTTATCTACTCATTTTTTAATGAGCTTTGATTATTGGTGTCTTTTAAACTATTCTATTAGGATACAGTTGACCTTAAAATTTTCTTATCCTTTTACTACTTATAAGGTATTCAGTAATGAGCCACCTTGTATTTTTATATTGGTGATTTGAATGTGTTTTTGTTGTTGTTGTTTTCTGATAAATCTGAATAGGATTATTCAATTTTATTAATGTTTTCAAAGATCAGGTTTTGGCTTCATTGAGTTTTCTCTATTATTTTTGTTTTACATTTAATTGATATCTTCTCTTAATTAATTTGCTAAGAAATTATTAACAGTAATGACTAATATTCCAAATTAGTCACTTGGGGGTTTTCTTTTTCTAGTTTCTTAGTGTGGTAGCTGAGATCTTTGATTTTATCTAAGATTTGATATAAACCTTTTCTCTTTTCTAATACTTAAGTGTATTATGGTTGTAAATTTCTCTCTGAACACTTTTGTAGCTGCAACCCTAAAATTTTGATTCGTTGCTAATTTAGTATTATCCATTTCAAAATGTTTGCTAGTGTCTTTTATGATTCCTATCTTGATTTGAGGGTTATATAAGCTAAGAAGTAAGTTGCTTAATTTGTAATATTTGAGGCTTTGTAGATGTTTTATTTTTATTAATTTCTAATTTAAGTTTTTGCTAGAGAAAATACTATTTTAAGATTTTTAGCTTTTAAATTATGTTGACTAAATTTATGATTAGTATATGATTAATATTGGTTACTATTTCATATGCACTGGAAAAGATTGTGTAATCTGAAGTTGTGGCATTATAGTGTTCTTTAAATGTCAAGTAATTAAGGTGGTTGACAATGTTGCTCAGATCTCTATTATCATAGATGGTGTTTTTTTTCCCCTGGTTGTTCTATTAATTGTCAAGAAGAGCAGGTTTAAGTCTTCAACTAAGATTGCATATTTTTCTTTTTCTCCAGTTTTTGCTTTATATGTTTTGTAGCTCTTTTATTGTGTACAGTAGTACCCCTTTATGTACAGGGGGTATGTCCCAAGATACCCTGTGGCTGCCTGAAACCACAGACACTATGAATCTTATATATACAATATATATATAAGTATAATAATATTAATAAGTATAATAATTAAGTAAAAAAAGTATAATAATACAATATATGTATAAGTATATGTATATGTATAAGTAATATATATATATATATAACATGTACATTATACTTACATATCTATGATAAAGTTTAATTTATAAATTAGGCACAGTAAGAGATTAATAACAATAACTACTTATAAATTATAACAATTATAACAATATGCTATGATAAAATTATATGAATGTTTTCTACCTCTCTCTTTCTCTCAAAATATCTTATTGTACTATACTCACCCTTCTTGTGATGATGTGAGATGATAAAATGCTTACATGATGAGGTAAAGTGAGGTGAATGAATGATATAGGCACTCTGACATAGCGTTAGGCTACTACTGACCTTCTGATATGTCAGGAAGATCATCTGCTTCTGGTGATCCTGGATCACGTCATGAGGACATCAATGGCTGGATGCCAGGAGCAGATGTCAATGGTTGGGGAAATTTAGTATTTTCAGACTGCAGTTGACTGTGGGTTACTGAAACTGCAAAAAGTGAAACTGCATGAGGAGGACCTACTGTATTTATAATTGTTTTACCTTCTTGATACATGAACTTTTATAATAATGACATATCCCTCTCTATCTCCAAAAATATCACTTATCCTCAAGTTTATTTTATTATATTAATATTAAATTGTTCTTATTTACAAATAAAATTTTAAACTTTTACTTTCAGTAATTGTGTTTTCTTTTAAGGTCTCATAGGTTGGAGATCATTTATATAAAAGACATGAATTAATTCACATCTGTTACATTTAATATAATTATTGATGTGATTGCATTTAGATAAGCTTTTTACTATTTGTTTTAAATTTTAGCATTCAGTTTTTTCTTTTCTTTCATCTTTTTGCCTCATTTTTTTGTAAATATAAATTTTAAAATGCTATTTTCATATGTCTACTTTTCTACTTTAACTGCATTTTTAGTGGTTGCTGCAGAGGTTAAAATGTATAGTTTATATCTACTCAGGCTACTTAGATATAATTTTTAATTACTTCTTGTAAAATATAGGAGGCTTGTAACAATATATATTTCCATTTCCTCCCCCTTCTTAAAACTATTTCCATGTGTATCGTATCTATTCACCCTATAAAGCAGAGGTGGAGAAGGTCCAGCCTTCTGGCTATATAAGACTCGCAAAGTCATTTGGTCTGGCCCTGCCAAGGCATTAGGGGTGAGTTAATTAATTGTTTAACCAAATATAGCAGGCTACTTTTTAACTTGATAATTTTGTATGGCCCACGAATGATGTTATAAATATCCAAATGGCCTTTGGCAGTAAAAAGGTTTCCCACCCCTGCTATAAAGTAACAAATAACATAAGATACCTTTTTGCCTTATATACTCATATAACTTACAAAAAAGAAAAAAAAAGTTTTATATTTACTCATACTTTTACCATTTCTGTTACTTCATTCTTTCCTATTGATCTGAGTTGTCATTTAGTGTCATTTATTTTGAGATTGAAGAACTCCTCTTAGCATTTCTTATAGTGTATACCAGTGTTCCTGATAGTTTCTTAAATTTTTGTTTATCTAAAAATGTTCTTAATTTGCCTTCAATTTTGAAATATAGCTTTGCTGTAAATATGTTTTTTTATCCTTCCATGCTTTGAACATGCCATTCCAATGTCTTTGGACTTCCATGACTTC